AGTTTTGTATTTGTGTGTTACACCTAATGTTGTTAAATGAATGTTTATTGCATTATTTCAGTTTCATGTGTCATGTGTGTGGTGTTTAGTGTTTGTGTGAATGACACTGTGTGAAACCTTCTATATATAAGAACTACCCTTTTCATCTCGTAGAAAAGCTGTTTGTGATGAGCTTTGGTTCATCATGTGACTTTCTCATCACCACCAGTTCAAAACAGATATTAACACTTCAATATGTTGGTTTATTAACATTACATCCGTTAATGAAATACAGTATTTTATTGTGAATTTAAGTTAAATCTGTAAAACCTAACATGTTGCTACCATATTGTTTACGGTGAAGTTCTGGCAACCACAGCTGCCGGTATTTTACCTTAAATGTCACAGATTTATTTTTTACAGTGTAGGTTTGTGGTGTAGCAAGGATAGTTAGTAGTCAGGACAGTCCCTTGTGAAAAGAAGTACTCATAAAAAGAGTACTTATTACAGAAATAATATACTTTAAAAGAATATACTTACGTGCAAAATGAATGTTAATGTTTTCAGACAGTTGCATGTTAAATACAATTAAATTTAAATGTATTGTAGTATAAGTCTATACTAAATGCAATTCGCTGAACTTCAGAGAGTGTTTTTTGACCTACTTAGGACTTAAATAAATCTGTATATGTAATTTCATAATTACTTCTATTGTCTTTTAAATATGGTTAAAGTACTGCTGAATGTACTGACAAGCATTTATGATCAACTAAAATATACTTTCATGTAATTTCTATTAAAACCTATTTAAATGTGTCATGTACTTGTTATTATAAATAACATACTTTAAAAAATATATTCTTAAGTGCAAACTGAATGTAATGATTTCAGACAATTTTGGAATTAAATGCATTTAAATGAAAATGCATTATAGTTTACATTTATATTACATGCAACATTAGAGTGATTTTTGACTCAAATAGGACATAAGATCTTTATAATTTCATAATTACTTTTGTTGTCTTCAAAAGTTAAATATATTTGCTATTAAAACACTTTGCAATGCTGAAAAAGCTGCAACTTAATTAATTTAAAATATATTAACTTGAAACGTAATATTGAATAATACACTACAGTTAAAATTATAATCAAGTTCTTTACATGTGCTTTAGTATGTTAGTCACCACATCAAAATAAGTGTACTTCTTTAAAGCATGACAGATGTATTAAAACATCATGTTATGTCAGTATCTGCTGTACTGTTATATAGATCTCATTGATTTACATTAAAAGCATCAGAATTTCATCTTAATTGTATCTTATAAATATCAGCATCTGCAGCATTTTTTTCTCTGAATACAATTGAGCTGCTTTTAACTCCATATTCTTATATATGTTATTATTTAAAAGCTCCGTGTGATTGGCTTTGGTTCACCATGTGACTTTTTCATCACCACCTGCATTTGGTGGTTATCAGCGTATTACAAAGGTACAAAACAGATTTCAGTACTTCAATAGGTTGGTATATTAACATTATATCAGTTAATGAAATTGTAAATTTAAGTTACAACCGTAAAACCTAAAACGTTGCTACCGTATTTTTTACGGTAACATTCCGGCAACCACAGCTGCCGTTTTTTTACCGTAAATTTTACGGAATTTTTTTTACAGTGCATATGGAATTCTAAAATATGCATGTTGTTCATCTAATCTGTAAATCTAATTTAGGGTTAATAGGCCACTGCTGCTTTTATCACTTATGTCACAGTTCTTCAGGCATTCCCCCACCTCCACCTTTATTTCTAACATTTCAGCTCTATTTTAATCTCCTACTAGTAGGTTAAAGGAGGGGAAATTAGAGTTTGAGCCCCCTTATTGCAGAATGACAGCTGTCTACCTTTATCTTGCAAAGATTATATGGACATATGAACTCCTGAAAATGCTTTAGGGATATTTACGTTACAACCCTTCCTTGTATCATTGCATGGATGTCATGTAAATGATACTAGGATGACATGGCCATGACACAACAACATTGCACAAGCAAGACTACATTTTGTTTAATGGTAGATAGAGCATAAGTTGTATTTAACCTGCAATGTTCATTGAACAAGAAGAAAAGCCGTTTAGTAAAGACTGACCTGGAAAAAAATGACAAAAGCCAGGCGTGCAGCGAGCACAGACCAGTACTGCTTAGAAAGCTGGTAAGACTCGGGAGACCAGGGTGGATCTCGATAGTCTTTGTACCTGTGAAGATTATGAATTGTTGAGCAGAAGAAAGAATGATATGATAATGTAGGCGAGTAGAGTTCATGAGTATGAGGGTATTGAGTGTGTGTTGTGTGTACCTGCAAATACGGAGTTGTCTGTCAAAGTCTGTATCATGTGGGGCAGTTCCAGGTTTAAAGTTGCTCGTGTTGAAATAAGCCAGTGTATGGTTGGTATAACCATGCATGGTGCCTGTCTCACTGTACAAATACTGATACACCATCCGAGGAATGAACTCCGATGTAAAGGAGATCACAAATGCCTTGAGGGAAAGAGAGATAGCAGGAGGAAGAACCTTAAAATCTCTGCATGCAATGAGATAAATCATATTAAACACAGCCAGCAACTAAATCTGAAATTTGTTTCATCGTAAGTCACAATCTCTTAACTCTTAACTCTCACATTTGTAATGACAGCAAACTTGCTGATTCCACTCAAGATGTTGTACCATATGCCTGGAAAGGGGAAGATAAATATGTGACAGTGTGAACTAGATTAAATAACAGTTATGTTAAGTGCATAGTAATGAGCAAGTCTGTACATATTTGCTGCAAATTTCATACCAATCTCTTTAGCACTGACTGCATCAGGCCGGCGTATTTCAGTGACGAATTTTGCCGCATCTAGTCGGATTTCAATGATGTTATTAAGCAGAGCAAAAACTGGTGCCAGCGGGAAGGAGGCCACAAAGAGTGTGACAAATCCATACTGAATAACTGCAGACAAACAAACACACACATACACAAATGATCCACGTCCTTAATCAAACCCAGTTCCTCAAAGTCATCATGGGCCTCTTTAAACACCGTTTCTAAACCTCTTCTAAGGAAAAACTAATAATAGAATGTATAGAGCAGGTGTTGGCATCCATTTTAACATTTTTATATCTCTTGTTAATCACTGTGCCACTATGGCTTCCTTTACAGTTGTGTGACTACAGTGAAGGATTACTAACGTATTTTGCCATACAGATGTGAGGGATTTCAAAATAAACAACTAAATAAAATAATACATGTAATATTCCTCTCCCTTTGTGACAGAAGGTTACCGACCACTGTCAGAGTCTCTGAAGTTGTAGTTGAAGTAGAAGTTGTGATAGACAGAAAAGCAAACGAAACATATTAAGTGTCAGTCTTCAAGGCGTACAAAGCTTATTGACCCACAGAATTGGCTCTGGTAACTGTTAACCAACATGACCGATCCAATCTACCACTACAGGGTTAACCCGATTAACATTTATTTACATCTATCATAGGTTATTGTCAATATGATACTGTTGTATTGTTTCCTTCAATCAAACTGTGTCTATGCTCTCTCTCTCTCTCTCAAGATCATTCCTTGAGTATCACAAAGCTTAAGGTCTGTTCACACCAACACAAACTAAAATTTGGTCCGGTTTTCATGTGCAAACCTATTTCATGCACAGACCTATGTGAAAAAACAACAGACAGGCTGACTGAAAATGCACAGATACATCCCCATACAGGACAAAATCAACAAACTTTAACCTGGATTGACTGTCATTAAATTCTGTTCCACCCGTGTTTCTTATACAAGGAGGTTCTAATATTTCTAAACAAGATACTGGTTAAGATCCATCCCGATATGGGATAGAATCAACAACTTTTAAGCCATTACAACAACATCTTTTACCCTGGAGGTGGGAAGAACAGATTACGACAGCTGGATTGCTTGTCATCTGATTCTGTTTACCCAATATTTCTAATACTAGAAGGTTCTAATATTTCTGAAGAAGATACTGGTTAAGATTCATCCCTATATGGGATAAAAACAACAACAAGCAACTACCTCAAAATGTCTCTCCATGCAGGTGGGGGAACAGATTCCGACAGCTTGATTGCTGGCCATTGGATTCTGTTTCCCCCATGTTCCTTATCCTTAGAGGTAATACACTAAGTAGCAGTCTTATGTTACTGCAGTGGCTCTGGGCATGTGACTGAAATCGCAAATCTTATTGGTTGGGCAACCTTTTGTGTAGTGAGATGAAAAAAAAAATGGTTGCATTGATGCCATGCAAATGTTTGTGATGGCCTGTATTTGTTTTTTAGATTTCTTTTTGGTGTTTTGCCTTTATTATGAAAGAGCAGACAGAAAGCAAAGTGGGAGAGCAAGAGGGGGGAGGGATCGGGAAAGGTCCTCAAGCCAGGATTTGAACTCGGGACACCCGAAGCACAACAGCATTATATGTCAGTGCACTGCCCACTAGGTTATCGGCGCAGACAAAGCTGTCTACTTTTAAATAAATTTAAATGTAATTGAATAGGAGCCAGATCCTGCTTTCAATATCAACATTTTCTAAACCAAATTTAGAGTAAGCTTCTAGCTAACTAGTTGTCCAGACTACTAACAGCTGTGTAACAGCTTCAGGGGCTGGCTACATAAACTGCTAAGACTAGTCTTAAAAAGTTACTATCATCAAATTTGTTTTCTTCAAGACTTGTCATAACTGTTTGAAGTTGGTTACAAAAAGGTAGATTGGCCCAATTTGAATCAGAAAAGTAAGACCGATTATCTCTTGGCTAATTGCTGGTTGGTCAATCTAGTTCTTAAGACACAGTCTTCACATAGTGGCTTTGTTTATGCAACTGGTCCCAAAGAATGCAAAACCTAAGGTTAATTCTGATTGGTCTGTAGCGCCCAGAGTATAGGTACTTCATGATGTTAAATGACTAGCAGTTATATTTTTATACAATAAATAATTATCATTTTGAAAGTTATTATATTATTACAGCTATTAAAGCTAACTATAAACAGTATTCACATTGTACTTTTATAATGTGATGGAGCAAATCAAAAAATGTTGAAGAAATCTACAAAAGGAGGAATTAAGTACACTGATGAATCACTCAAAATAAGACCAGGAACATGTATTACGAAAATAAACATTTTCTTGACAATAAAATCAATTTTAGAAAAAAACTTTAAGCCACAACACTGTCATTAAGTTATGTACAACCAAATTAGGCTTTCATGTTGCAGGTTGACTGCATTTCAAACAAGTAGAACAATGAAGGTGATGCAGTACTCACCCATCTCCATGTACTCTGGGCTCAATCCCTCATATGGCTCCAGGTCGTAGTCCAAATCCCAGCGCTGTGGTTCTCGTTTGGAATCTTTGTCCTCCTCATCTGCCAATCCATCTCTCTTCTCCTTATACGTGCGATACATCTTCTTCAGCTTTCTGTAATGTCAACAGATTTGGCTGTGTCATTTTAAACACTTCTTCCATCACTCACTGTGCACTGCGTTGGTAATGTTAAACGGTGTAGAGAATTAAAAATTTAATTTAACAAGAGAGTTAGGGGCTTCCTCTAATAGACTGGGGATACATTGCGGAATCCAAGAAAATTAGCAGAGGGACCACAGGGAAGACTTTGCATGTGTGTATGTGCGTGTATACTTACGGAATTGCAATTTCAAACACATTATTCTGAATGAGCTGTTTTCCCAACATAATGATTCCCAGCTGAATACACACTTCAATAAGACAGCCACCTGGAGAGCACTGGACCAAAAACACACATACATGCAAATAGTTAGTAACAGTATGCTAAAACACTGATGACAAACATATTATCGTTTTAATAATTACCTCTTCCATGCGGAAATCCTTAAAGACATAAACATAGTCACCCGGATGACCGGCAAACCTAAATTAGCACACCAGAGTTATGATGGGTATTTTAAAATACCGACAATGCTACTATTTTCTGGATTAAACAATGCTAACCCAGAAATTCTGCATTTTTGTGCTAGACACTAAAGCCGCACATACTAAACTACAACATAATGGTGTACTGTTCAGCAACACAACACTATAGACATACAACAACACTACATGTAACACAGACACCACAAAACAGGCCGTTATAGAATTATAATTTGCATCTGGAATTTAGACATAAATAAAAACAAAAATTAATAAAATATGATGATATATTTTTGAATTGAGTAAAAAAGGGGTAAAATAATTTTGAGAAAAATGCATTTTCAAGTGCACAACATGGGACTTGTATACAATAATTACATGAAAGATCATATTCAACAAGTAATATATAGTAAAAAAATTTTTTTATAGAAAATATAAAAAATATAGACATTTACTGTAGAATATCATATTTTGACAGCACTTTACCATAAGTTCCCATTAGTTAATGTTTTAACTAAAAATGAGCAATACATTTGTTACTGTGCTTATTAAAATTTAACATTAATAAAAATACTTGTTAGTTCAGGTCCATTCAATAATATTAACAAATACAACTTTTGATTTTTATAATATATTATTATGTGTATGTTGAAATATTAACTAAGATTATTCATAGATTTTTCTTTGTTAGTTCATGTTTACTAGTGTAGTTAACTAATATTAACAAATGGAACCTTACTATAAAGTGTTACCAATATTTTTTGTTTCTCAGTGTTGCATGATTTTAGGTTAACAATTTTTTAAACATATATATATATATATATATATATAAAAATAAATGTTCCTATGAAACAAATGCTCAAAGTGATATATACAATACAGACGAACATAGATAACATTCTCAACAATGCCATACACAGGACAGTCACACACCACTACAGAATACAGTAGACACTAGTGTAGACACAACACTACATACAAACACAATACTACAGTAAGCACACCACTACACTGCAACACACTGAACATGATAAACAACCACAAAGTACATTATAATAATCCAATTATCATTGCTCGCAACAGAGACAAAACATCACGTTAGTTTGGGTGGGTATGCTAATGGCATGCCATTTTACCTGCCCTTAAAGAAGGCCACATAGAAGACAGGTGCAAATGAATTCATGCTCTTCAGCAAAAAAGCTTTCAAGATCACATGCTCCTCATATGTCGATTCAGTCTTTGGAATCTCTGCAAGTATGACATTAATATCATATTCATAATAATCATCATTGGTAATGCATGATCTTTTCTTCATTAGAGTCACCCTTTTATCAAGAAACACATTTAATCTTTTGTCATGTAAACACACACACACACACACACCGTGATCAGGGTTCATTGACATAACGGCAAACACAATGATGCGGTAGAGAATCACTCCAGACACGGCAGAGAACGTGACCCCAACCTGAGAGAACAGATAAATAAGAATTTTAAGCATAAAAGCAATGTGACAAATGCTCTTATGGGGAAAGGTACCCACCATAAGGAGGATAGAGGATATGTTGATGCAGTATCCTGGCAGCCGGTCTGTCCATGACAAAGACTCGGAGGCAAGCTACAAGAACAACAGGATGTTACTTAATGCTCACCATATCAGCTGGTAATACACTAGTTACTTGACTACCATAATCACATTTTGCCTGAAACTAATAAGCAATAATGATTTTTGTTATGGCAATAAACAATATGATGGCCCATACTATAAATCTATACCAGGGGTGCCCAATCCTGTTCCTGGAGATCTACCTACTGTACCTGCAGAGTTCAGCTCCAACCCTGATTAAACACGTCTCAACCAACTAATTAAGCTCTTCAGGAGCATTTGATAATTACAGACAGGTGTGTTTGATCAGGGTTGGAACTGAACTCTGCAGGTAGGTGGATCTTCAGGAACAGGATTGGTCTATATTGGTCTGTTTAGTGTTTTTTTAACCAGAATAATGTAATAAATAATTAAAGTTCATTAAAGAAGCACCACAGTATTTAACATTTTTTGTAAAATCAACCTATTAATTGGTTACTTATGCCTAAAAAAATGAAATTTAAAATAAATATGCTAATATTGACCATTACCAATCTGGCCTCCAATATAAATTATTCAGTTAAAAACTCTATTAGTGTTAAAAACACTATTAAATATTAGTTTACAAAATCTACAGCTGTTGTAGTGGTTTTGTGCATCAGAACAGGAAATAGTTTTGAACTTGGAACAAACTAATCATTGAAACTAAGTACGGGTGATTAGATTGAAGTACTGAAGTTAATGAACAGCACGGATCCAACCCTCCCCCTGACGCGCACGCATGAAATCTGAATTAAAACACTACACTCTCTCAGGTACACGCATATACACAGTGAACATGTGTCTTTGATTAGAGGAAGGACACCACTCTAACTTGTGTGTTTTAATCCAGCTCTGACTCTAATCCTGCATAATCTAGTGTGGAATACCCAGAGAGGTAATCTGCTTTGAGTGCCGTGTGTAGTAAGCGTGTACGCTACAGTAGTGTTTGAGCACGTACGTGTGTTGTTTGTATGCGCCGCAGGCCTGACACTATGTACAAGGGCACAATGGCAGTAACAAAAATCCGCAAAATCACATCAAGTGAAATTGCGACCAAACTGCTCATTTCAGACAGGAAAAACACAGTGCCAATGTTGTCCAACGGACTGTGTAGTTCATTATCTAATTAATTAAATTGTCAGAAAGAATGAGAAGAAAAAGATAAGAGAGTGCTAATGTGGGGTGTGATAAGAAGAAGGACGGATATGAGCCGGGTGGGCAGGAGGGGTCCGAGGGAGGTCAGTGCAGTGACCACTCGATTACTGACAGCTGAGAACTAACTGTATTATCCCTGAAACCCCGCCTCTTCTGGTTAAGTTGATTAGCTCACTCTCTCATAGACAGACACAGTAAACTGTCAAATTATCTCCCCCCTCCTCACCGGTGACTGTCCTCCTTTAGCAGACAGTAGCTTCTCTCTTCCTTTGTCATCCGTTCCTGCGTCCGGCTAGAACATAGAGCAGAGATTAAAAGCACTGCGCACACACACTCATTATCTTACATCTACCTGGAAAAATGTGCAAGGTATTCCAGGTATTTCAGCTCAGTGCATTTTTACGCAATAATTAAATTAAAGTGAAAATTAAGACTTCACCTTGAGATCCTAAATTGATAGTGGTAAGTGATTAATAGTGATTAAAAAGAATTTGCAGATTTCCTCTCAGACCTATTGGTTAATGTTGATAAAGCGCTAATTGTCGGAGACTTTAACATTCATATTGATAATACAAATGATGCATTAGGACTTGCACTTACAGACTTAATAAACTCTTTTGGGGTCAAGCAAAATGTCACCAGACCCACTCATCATTTTAATCATACGCTAGATTTACTTATATTGCATTGAATTGATCTTACTGATATAGATATTGTACCTCAAAGTGATGATGATACTGGCAACTACCTTGTATCATGCATGCTGCGTATTACTGATATTAACTATATCGCTCCGCTGTATCGTCCGGATAGAACTATTGTTCCAACCACTAAAGATAGATTCACAAATAACCTGCCTGATTTGTCTCAACTGCTCTGTGTACCCATAAATGCACATGAACTAGATGAAATGACTAGCAATATGGGAACTATCTTCTCTAATACATTAGAAGCTGTTGCCTCCGTCAAATTAAAAAAGGTTAGAGAAAAACATACTGTGCCATGGTACAACAGCAATACCCATTCTCTCAAGAAAGAAACTCGTAATATTGATACAATAACAAATGTAGAATCTACAGCATCTTCTAATTCAGCTTCATTCATCGCACCCAAAGAAAAATTGCAGTGCTTTACAACTACAAGACAGGAACAGCTAAATAAACTTATCACTGCATCGAAACCAATTAGATCCTGTACCAACTAAATTACTGAAAGAGTTGTTACCTGTAGCAGAAGAACCGCTTCTCAATATTATTAACTAATATTATAGAGTCGTTATCTCTTGGTGACATCCCAAAACCTTTCAAGCTGGCGGTTATTAAGCCTCTTATTAAGAAACCACAACTAGATCCTAGTGAACTGGCAAATTACAGACCCATTTAAAATCTTCCATTTATGTCTAAAATTTTAGAAAAGTTGTCTGCTCAATTGTGCTCCTTCCTGCAAAAATAATATCTATGAAGAATTTCAGTCAGGTTTCAGGCCCCATCATAGCACAGAAACTGCACTAGTATGGAGTGCCGCAAGGATCTGTCTTAGGCCCTCTGCTATTTTCAATATACATGTTGCCCCTTGGTAATGTTATTAGAAAATAGGGGTTTAGTTTCCATTGTTATACGGATGATACTCAACTATATATCTCAACAAGACCAGATGAAACTTCTAAATTATCTAAGTAACAGAGTGTGTTAAATATGTAAAATATTGGATGACCAATAATTTTCTCCAATTAAATTCAGCTAAGACAGAGATATTAATTATTGGACTAAAAAGAACAGTACACAGAATCCCTTAGATTACAATTTGCATCTAGACGGATGTACTGTTACTTCCTTTACAGTCAAAAATGTGGGTGTTATATTAGACAGCAACTTGTCTTTTGAAGATCATATTTCACATAACAGCATTCTTCCGTCTTAGAAACATTGCCAAGCTACGAAACATGTTACCTGTTTCTGATGCAGAAAAGCTAGTTCATGCATTCATGACCTCTAGACTGGACTATTGTAATGCACTGCTAGGTGGTTGTCCTGCATCTTCAATAAACAATCTACAGGTAGTCCAAAATGCAGCGGCTAGAGTCCTTACCAGGTCAAGAAAATATGATCATATTACCCCAATTTTACAGTCTCTGTACTGGCTACCTATTAAGTTCCGTATCAGTTACAAAATATTACTACTTACTTGTAAGGCCCTAAATGGTTTAGCTCCTGCGTATCTAACTAGTCTTCTATTATGCTACAGTACAATACATCACCTCCCTAAGGTCGCGAAATTCTGGACTTTTGGTAATACCTTAGCAAAGTCCACTAAAAGATGTAGAGCTTTTTCACATTTGGCTCCCAAACTCAGACACGGGGGTTCAGACACGCGCTCTCTGTTTAAATCTAGATTAAAGACACATCTCTTTAGCTAAGCATTGACATAATGTATCTCATAACCTTGTACTTCAGTTTTATCTGATCAAATGCACATTATCATTCTTTGCTTGGTTTGAAGACATTATAGTTTTTTGCTTGGTTTGAACAGCAGCTATGCTAATTTAAAATTTTCTCTATTTGCTTCTCTGTTTCTGCCACAGGATGGGCATCCCCAGGTAACTAGGAATTACACAAGCTTCAGTCTGAATCCAGCCCTTACAAAGATCTGAGATGCCTGAACACCTGAGAAGAGATAACTACCAAATTTTGCTATAAATTTGCTATGTTAATTTTGCTATATTAATAGTGTTCACCGTTTGTTTGAATACAAGTCATTAACTAACTGCATGATTTTTACTGTACATTTCTGCCATATGGACATCACCTTAACATAGTCACCACTGATAAGCTACTCCTAAATATAATGTAGAAAGTTAGAAACTTCAATTTTCTGTGAAGCTGCTTTCTTTGCAAGGATTTGTATCATCAAAAGCACTATACAAATAAAGGTGAATTGAATTGAAAAAGAACTTTACAGTAAAAACACATTTATTAAACAAAATAAATAATTAAAACGTGTATATTTTGGAATATCTGTCATACTTTCCTAAATAATCCTAATGGGAAAAGGTCCTACTAGAAAAACCAAAACTCCTATAGACTTTCCTACAGACTTCCTTTTAATTGTTTTGTTTTGTTTTAGATACTAGAGATAATTTCTTTCATAATTTCTTTGAAAAAAAAATCCTAATAGGAGTTTAATAAGAAACTGGATAAACTAAAATTCCTAATGACATTCCAAGATTTTTTACTAGAGTTAATCATTAAAATTACAAAAATGATTATACATTACAAAAAATATAATAAAATAAAAATAAAAAATAAAAAAAAATAAAATGTGCATATTCCTTCAGAAATTATTGTGTTAAGTCTATATCCTTGTTCAGTAATTCTTTTTTTTTATTGATTTAATTGAGTAATTGATTTTTTTTTTTTAAATCAAAGATGAGAGCTGATATTTGCAATGATATTAGGGAATTGTGATTTCCAAGCTCATAGAAATTATTAAAATTATAAGAAGACATGAAGTTATGGTCATTGTAAATATACATTTTTCTAGTTATATTCAACTGTAAAGTTATTTTTTTATAATTATAACAGTACTGTAGTACTGTTTAATAATTAAAAATATAATATTTTATAATTATAATTATTACTCTTTGTGAGTACAATCTTTATAAAATTATTATTTTTATTTATTCAGTAATCACAAACAACTGAAAATGTTATGGGAAATCATGGAAATTCATTGGTCAAATGCATGCGAGAACCTTAGTTTTGTACATAATCGTGCAGTTTACCTCTTCCTTCTTCTTCTTTGCCTTCTTCTCTTGTTTCTTAAGGAGAAAGTCCTCATATGCTGGTCGTAGCTCATTCTGTGATATAAACACACACATATACATCAAGCTCAGTGATCAAGGACTCCAAAGATGTCAAAAAGCAGCAAATTCAACATCAGTTCCATAGACATGCATAAGCAAAATGGTCTCCATAGAAACAGGATTCACAAACACATGCACAAATCGAAATAATTATCTTGGTTCCACATTAAATCATTTTCTTGTCTTGAGGCAAAGACGCCAATATGGAACAAAACTGCAAGTTCATTATAAAGCATGTAGCCCGCGGGGCTTTTCTGCCTAATATGTGAACACATTGCTGTAGACAAGAGTGGTATATAGTTGTACGTTCAACACACAATGCTTAAGCTAATATATTTATGACACAGAATGTGTTTCAAGCAGACAGGTAGCATTTTCAACTTCACAAATAAGGTCGTGATTATCTGGCAAGAACACTGTGGTCAGGATTATGGCATCGAGGTTAATGGTATAAAATCAGGGTAAAGGATTCGTTGACACACAGGTTACTACAAAGTTAATCCACTGTAAATCTCCCCTCTTCCTACGAATTCAGGGTTGATTCATCAAACAGCGTCACCATGCACCATATACACA